TAATTCCCATCAAAATACCAATGACATTCTTCACAGAAATAGAAAAAGCATTCCTAGCATTTATATGGACAACAAAACAGCCCGAATAGCCAAAGCAATCCTGAGCAAAAAAAATAAAGCCAGAGGCATAACACTACCTGACTTCAAATTATATTATAAAGCTATTGTAACCAAAACAGAGTGGTACTGGCATAAAAACAGACACTCGGATAAAGGAACAGAATAGAAAACCCAGGAATCAGCCCACATACTTATAGCCAACTGATCTTTGACAAAGGCTGCCAAAGATTTTAAAAGCAGTATTCAAGCTTTAACTTAATCAAAAAATTTTAAAACCAGAAGTAGTTTTATTTTGTCTACATCATTATTTGCTTCTACTATGTTATAAAGAGTAAAGTTGTGTTCAGAGAAGTGCTTTCAGGATTTACTTTATGAACAGTTATACCATGCATTGTCAGCCATCTTAGGTAGACATAACATAACCTGTGTAAGGAACATTTGAGGATCCACTGAGTTAACAAAAAAATATATTTCTGGGTGGCAAGCTATGATGGTAAAGTTATATACAAACACTTTCTGGTAACATTTTAAATAACTTTCAGAAATCGTCTTATTTGTCCTTCAAAATTCATCTTAATCCAATCCCTATTCTAATTTTTTTTTCTTACCACTTGTTATCATTTCTTCCTGCCTACCAATAGGCCAGTGGTTCTCTCATTCCTATTTTATAGGGGAAACTGAACATTTCGTCGAGAATGACTTTGCTTTGAGTGTTTCTTTTGTTGTTTGTTTTTTAAATAAATGCCCTGTATCAAATTAAGGCAGTTGTCTTCTACTTCTAGTTTGTTAAAGTGTGTATGGATGTATGTATAAGTGAGTGAATTTTTATCAAATGCTTTTTAATTTTATATATTGAAAATGATTGTGTGATTATTATTATTATTTTTTCTTTGTGGCTGGCCAGTAAGGGAATCTGAAGTCTTGACCTTGGGGTTGTAACACCATGCTCTAACTAACTGAGCTAACTGGCCAGCCTGATTATGTGACTTTGGACTTTATCTTATTTTGGAGATTAATTATATCATTGATTTTTTAATATTAGGCTAACCTCACATTTCTGGAATTTGCTTACTAATGTTTTAAGACTTTTGCTTGTATATTCGTGAGAGAAATTGGCCTGTAACTTTCCTGTCTTATAATGTACTTTCCAGGTTTTGATATCTCGGTCATGCTGATTTCTTAAAAATGCTGGGAAATACTTAAAGTTTTTACATTTTATGGAAGTTTGTTAGAATTCATTAGTAAAGCCAAGCCATCTTAGCTTGCAGTTGTCTTTGTACAAAGGTTTTTAATTATGAACTCTATTTTACTATTAGGTATAGGACAATTCAGGTTTTTATTTCTGCCTATGTCATTTTGTTGTTTTTCTAAGAATAAGTTCATTTCTTCTGAATTTTCTAATATGTCAATGTGTCCATAATATCCATCTTTTTATCTTTTTAATTTCTATAGTGATGCCCTTTTTCATTCTTGGTATTTGTTTTATTGTGCCTTCTTTCCTTTTTTTCTTGATAAATTTTGCTAAGAATTTATCAGTTTTATTAGTCACATTTTTTTTTCCTGAGAACCACTTTTTGCTCTTTTGACGATATCCTTCATACGTGTGTTTTCAGTTTCGCCAATTTCTACCCCAATCTATATTATATTTTTTATTTTATATTTCTTTGGGTTTAATTTGATGATTTTCTTCTAAATTCTTGAGATAGATAATGTATTAGTTTGTTCAGGCTGCCATAAGAAAATACCATATACTGGGTTGCTTAAACAACAGAAATTTATTTCTCAGAGTTCTGGAGGCTGGAAATCTCAGATCAGGGTGCCAGCATGGTTGAATTCTGCTGAGGGCTCTCTTCTTGGCTTGCAGAAAACCACCTTCTTTCTGTGTCCTCAGTGGCATGGAGGCAGGAAGGGAGCACAAGCTCTGTAATGACACTAATCCTGTTGGATCAGAGCCACACTCTTAGACTTCATATAACCTTAACTGCCTTCATAAAAGCCCCATCTCCAAATATAGTCATGTTGGGGATTGGGGCTCGAACATATGAATTTTAGGGGGCCACAATTTAGTCCATAGCGGATACCTAAGTTGTCATTTTTCAGATTTTCTTAACTTCTTATTTGCAGTCATTTAAAGTCACAAATTTTCCCTCTAAAAGCAGCATTAGTTTTTTCCTACAAGTATTGATTTGTATATGTTTATGTATATTTATTATTCTGTAGTTCAAAATATTTTCTAATTTTCATTGTTTTTTTTTATATTTGGGTTTAATGGTTACTTAGGTTATTGCTTATTTTTTTAAAATATGGAAATTCTCTAGTTATCTTTGTTGATTTATAGTTTAAATCCACTGTGATCTGAGTAATTTTCATTGTTTTTTTTTATATTTGGGTTTAATGGTTACTTAGGTTATTGCTTATTTTTTAAAAATATGGAAATTCTCTAGTTATCTTTGTTGATTTATAGTTTAAATCCACTGTGATCTGAGAACATATTCTGATTCAGTCCTTTGAAATTTATTGAGATTGACTTTGTAGGCCAGGATGTGTTTAATTTTAGTAAATGTTTCATGTGTATTTGAAAAGAGTATATATTCTGTAGTTTTTGTTGCAATGCTCACTATACTGTTTCTTCATTAATTATGTGGTTTAAATCTATCTCATTAATTTTTTTGTTTTCTTGTTAGTTGCCATGAGAGGTGTGTTAAAAATCTCCCAATGTAATCATGGATTTATACATTTCTCCTTTTTGTTTTTTTAATTCTTTCTTTTATATTTTGAAGCTATGTGATTAGGTAGGTACTAAATTAGGATTGTTACATCTTTCTGGTAGGTTGATATTTTATCAGTATATAATGTTGCAGTACCCACCATAGTATCTTTTTAGGTCCAAACAGTTAGATTCAGAACTGTCATAGGCCACAGTTTGTGCCCGCCTATGCAGGAGGATACAGACCAGGAAACAGCATGATACTGTGGAGCTTGAGTTGTTCCTCTGGGGTGGGAGTCTTAAGATAATCCCCACAGTAGTTTAGGAGGTATTCTCTTTGGTAGTCACAAGTGATGAGTTTGGTGTGAGGAAACAAGACTCACTTGGTGGGAGTGTTAGAAGCCACCCTCACTTAGGAACCTCTGCTCCACAATACCAAATATGTCTTGTAACAACCCATGAGCATAGCTTACAGGTTTTCTTCAAGGGACATATAAGCATCATCACAGTAAGAGAAGCCTAAAGCTGTAGCTTCATGCCATATGACAACATGCATTCTTGACATTAAAATCCGCTGTAAATTAGTAATGTACCACTTTCCCAGTAATATAAAGATTTTAGAACTCTTTAACTTCATTTACCCTGTTCCATCTTATACACTGTTGTGTATTTTATTTCTAGTTAGGTCTTAAGTCTCATAAGAGGTATTATTGTTTTCTACAATTAATATATACCTTAAATTTACCACATATTTCTTTTTGCTGCTTTTCATTCCTTCTTGCATCTTTGTTTTTCCATTTGAGCTCATTTTTTTTCTCTTTAGTATGTTTCTAGTGTGATTCTATAGCTGGCAAATTCTCTATAAGTTAGGTTGCCTGGAAATGTCATTTTGCCCTTTTTTGTGGGGTATTTTCACTAGATGTCAAATTTCAGGGGTGGTGGTCTTTTTTTTTCTTCTGACTACTTTTATGATTTCTTTTTTTCTTTCATTTTAAGCAATTTTACTTTGACGTGTCTAGGTACTGTTTCCCTTTATAAAAATAATTTTTAAAAAATAAATAGGATAAGGCTATATGTGCTTACAAGGATGTATCAGTTATCTTGAGGAGCTTTCATGGCCTATAAAATATATATGTAATACTGAAATATTTAAATTTTTATAATATGGATTCTTTACACTGGGGGGAGAGAGAAAGAGAGAAAATCATCACCTGGAGAAACTTTTTCAAACGATAATATTAGAAAGACTTCAGAATTATTTGGAAAAAGTTAGTTTTATTTCTCACTGTAGTTTTAGTGCTATACATTTTTATTTTAGAAAGTATTTTAAGTAACATGACTGTTCCTAGATAATGATTTTATGATACCAACTCCAGTTTTTAATATCTGTGGATTGTAACATGAACGTGTACTATACATTAAAATTTCCTGTTAATCATAATATTTATTAACTAGAAATTTATGGCTGGCTATTAATTATGAGAATTTGCTATGTTTATCTTGTCATTGAACCCTCCAGATCATGATATCAGCACAATATTTACATAAGGGCTTTCTCCTGTATTAACCCCATGGTGAATATCCATGCTTTGTAGAGCATACAACTGAGATATCAGATAACTTTTATTCTGTTTGATTCATCTCTGTAAGGAAATATGAATTTCAGACTGTAACAACTTTTAACATATATCACATTGCTGTAGTCTTAAAGTAAAACAGAGAAAATAATACTTTATGTTACTGATTAGTCTACAAAGGAAGAATATTTAATTAGATTGGGAAGCTAAAATAAAAGAAGTTAAACAATTGACAAGTCTTCCTGATTAATAACTTCGTAATAATAATGGCAGTAGCTAACATCAGGTGATGTTAATATCAAATGATAATAACATGAAATGATCAAATATTCAGTAGTGTAAATTTCCAAGTGTTATACAAGTATGAATAGATTTAGTTGCCACCAACCCTATGAAATAACTAACATCAGATGATTACTGTGATGTAATTTTCCACGTATTGTACATATACTAATTCAGTTAGTTTGTCACCCCATTAATATTCTCATTTTATAAATGTGGAATCTAGATTTCATGTTGGTTGGGACCAAACTCTAATTTTTTTTTTCCCCATGATTTTGTTTTAGGATCTGATGACAGCTATGAAATTGGGGGAAAAGACCATTTACTTAGTTTCATTCTTGGAAGGCTTACAACGTATTATTTTATTCACTGAAGATCTCAGGGTATTTAAAGCAACATACGAAAATGAGAAAGCAGAGTTAGCAGAGCAAGAAATTACACTGGCATTACAAGATGTTGGAATTTCTCTTGTCAACAATTACACAAAGCAAGAAGTAGCCTATATAGGCATTACAAGGTTAGATGCACTAAATTTTGGGTAAATTTAAGTGATCAGTTCTTAATCATTAAGAAATGATGATTGTAAAATCTAAAATGATTTAAATTTTGTGCCTTGACTATTTATCAGTACTAAGGTAATGCTAATTTAAAAGTCTGTTTAAGATTTTTTTTGCCTTTTGAGATAAAGATACTAGATCCTTTATTATGTTAATCCTCCTAGCTCTCTAAAAGGTTAGATTATTTTAATTTATCAAAAGTATACTTTTTTAATATTTCATAAAAAATGCTTAGTTAATTGTCCATTACTGCCTACCACAGTGCAAGGTACACATTCTATATAAGTTGTTGGAGGATTAAAGTAAAGACAATTCCTTTCTAATTTGACCTTGGCACTTTAGATCTAAGAAGCTATATTGTATTTATCATTCCCCATAAAGACATCACCAGTAAAGCTCTTCTCTTTCTCTTATGCCCTAATTATTCCTATTTAGAAACATTTAAATTGAAATTAATTTATATGAATTAGTACTTAATGTGAGAGCATTTTGTCCAGTCTGTATAATTAGGATATACAGTGTAATATTAATCCTTTACCTAAGTTAAACTCTTGAATATGTATATTAGAATATGTGATACAGATTTAAATTTAGTTTTCTGTATAAATTAATCAGAAAATGCTCCTGACCTTTCATTAATGGAATCAATGCCATTTTAAAAGGAATATTAAAAGCTGTTTTCCTAGAAATTTTTATTATCTCAAAAAAAAGTAAGTTTTTGTTACTTAAATGAAAAGATCAAATAAACACCAAATTTTAAGTCTGTTGCACCTGTTACTAGTTATCTCCTATGCTAAATGAGTCGAATGCAAAGATGAGTAATATGTGGTCTCTACCTTTATTTATTAAATGAATATAAATTTTATATGCAATAAATAAATAGAATACTTAAATGAAATCAAACAATTTAATTCTTAAATAAGCAGAAAAAGTAAAGTAATTTCAGAGTGTGGATAGTTTTTATTAATTCTTATTTAGCTCTCTCAGCATTTTAATGTCAGTACAATTAGATTTCTTACATTCACACTGTCTCTCCTAGATTACTATTTTACACCTTGTCTCTCCTCAAACTCCCATTCTCCCTCTCAACTCACTATCTTGCATCCCACTTCACTGACAATATTGAAGCAATCAGAAGCAAACTTCCACAGACCTACCACACCCCCAACGTTACAACTTCATACCCACCAGCATTTGCACCTATGTGCCACACCAACGTACTTGCCCACAGTTGCGATAGATGCACCACAGGTGCTCCCAACTTGAGGACGTTGGTCCAGCACTCCTTTTCTTTCTCTCTCCTAAATCAGCATCTTTTGGCTTTCTACTGGATTGTTCCTGTTAATGCTACTTCTCTTAACTTCAGTAAACTTCTCTTGAGTCTACTTTTCCTGCTACCTGCTACCAATTTCTTTGTTTCCCTTTACAGCCAAATTCTTCCAAAGTGTTGTCTATTTCAAGAGTTAAATATATTTACTGTCTCTAATTCACCCATTTTCTCTTTAATGACTCCAAACAGTGTTTTGCTTTCTACACACCACAAAACAGGTCTTGTCAGTATTACCACTGACTCCCATAATGCCAGATCCAGTGTAGAACCTCAGCCTTCACGTTACTTTATAACATTTAACACAGGTCTCTCCTTGATAGTTTCTTCCATTCGACTTTCAGAATACCTTGGGTTTTCTTCCTTTCTCAACATTCTCAGTCTCATTTTTTGGTTCCTTGTCTTCTCTTAGCTTTTTATGTTGGGTATCTTGAGGCTCTTAGACCTCTTCTCTTTGTCTATTTCAGTTTTATAATTTCAATTACCACATGTGTGCCAAAGATTTCAATGTATATATGTCTTCAGCCAGACCTGTCTTCTGAACTCCAAACTTGTACATATATCCAACTGCCTACACAAAACTTCTGCTCAGATATCTAGGGAACTTCTTAAACTTCCTGTGTGTAATACTGAACTCCTGATTTCCCCCTGCTACAAAAACTTACTTCCTCATCAGTGAATCACAACTTACTCCTTCCAGTTGCTCAGGCCAAAAACTTTAGAATCATCTTTGATTTCTCTCTTTATCTTACACCCCACATCTGATCCATCTAGAAGTTCTGTGCTTACTCTACCTTTAAAGTACCCATAGAATCTGACCACCTTTTGTTACCTCACTGTTACTGCCCTCGTCAGAGCAATCACCATTTTCAACTGGCTTACTGCATTAACTCCTAAAAAAAATTTCCTGCTTCTAGCATTGACCCTCTTTTTTCTTCCCCCCCACCACAGCATACAGTTTATTCTTAACAAAGTGTAAGTCAGATCATGTTGCTAATCTTAAAACCCCCAGTAGATCCTCATCTCACTCAGAATAAAACACAGGAGTCTTTACAGTGTCCTACAGGGCTTTATATTATTTGTCCTCCCACTGTCTATCTTAATTCATTATCTATTCTTAATGTGTTCCTGCTATGCCAGCCTCCTTGCTCTTCTTTGTACACTACAGGTGTGCTCCTGCTTTAGGGTCTTTGCTATAGCTGGTCCCTTTAAAGTGTTCTTCTTCCCTCATCTCCTGGATAACTCTGTTACCTCCTTTAGGGTTGCTGAAATCTCACCTTCTCAATGAAGCACCAGTTGACCACTCTATTTTAATATTGTAACCCCCACCACTTCTCATATCCCAGTACTCCAGATTCCCCCCTCCCCATCTTTTTCTTCTTTCAAAAACATTTTTGCCTCCTATATATTAAAATTCACTAATTTATTATATTTGCTATTTATTGTCTGTCACTCCCCAGGTAAAATGAAGCTTGAGAATGGCAGAGATGTTCACTGATTAGTGCCTGAAGAGTTTAATAAGTATTAAACAATTATCAGTTGAATGAATTCATGTTTTTAAACTTGTAATGTGCCTCCTTGTAACTGAGACTATTGCAGAATTTCGCTGAAGGTTTTATATAATTCATGTAATAAACCAATTAAAATGAAAATATTTATAAATTAGTACTGTGATTTTTGCTTTTATGTATAAGTTCTGATGTGGTTTGGGAGACAAAGCCCAAGAAGAAGGCAAGATGGAGGCCAATGAGTGTAAAGCATTCTGAGAAGTTAGAGAAAGAATTTAAGGAATATACTGAATCATCACCGTCAGAAGATAAGGTCGTTGAGTTGGACGCTAACATGCCGGTAAAATTTTTTAAGTACTGATGTGAAGTTTTAATTTTTATCTGTTGTAGTTAGGTGAATCACTACTGAATTTTATGGAAAGTCTGTCTTCCTTACAAAACAAATTGAATATAATTAATCCTATCATTCATATTTAGTATAAAATATTTACAAGTAGTGGTTATCTTTAATAAGAAATCAAATTTTCTCTTAAGATACTAGATGCTAATGACCTGTTCTTTGACTTAAAAAAAAACCAAAAATTTGTTTTATTTTTATTTACTTTATTTAAAAATTATATTTTTATTACTTTATTGTAGTACATTTTAGTAAATTTTTGTAAAAAGTGATACAGCTAAGCTAGAAAGATTATATGAATATTTACGTAAATTTTATGGATATGGGCATAAAGATCTAAATCTAAACTTAAACAAATATTTAACTTAGTATTTTAATAAATATGTTAAAAGTTTCTGGTATAAATTTTTAATTTTGATCAATTGTGGATAAAGAGTAATTCATGGGGGATGGATATTTTTCAGGTTCGCTTAACACCTAGTGGTAATAACATGAAAATTATGCAACCACATGTAATAGCTATACGAAGAAATTATCTTCCAGCTTTAAAAGTGGAATACAGCACATCTGCGCATCAATCATCATTTAGAATTCAGATTTGCAGAATACAGGTGAGTCTTTCTGCAAATATAGGCAAAGTTATATTCTAAAGGAACATAGTTAGAAACCAGATGTATTCTCATGGTCTTTTATCTAATGCTTCATTTTCAGTGTTGGACTAGATTTTTTGATTTCCCCTATTTCTTAAATCCTATTATTCTAGTTAGGTTGTATAATTAACATGCTAATATATGTCTTTATTTTCTCAGATCCAAAACCAGATACATGGTGCTATATTTCCATTTGTGTTTTACCCTATTAAACCTCCAAAGTCAGTCACCATGGATTCAGGTTTGTTTTATTTTTAGATTGCCATAAAAACAGTTATATTAGATATTTGGTTTATCTTACTATAAAAATGTGAAATGAAACCATTCTCAAGTTTAGTTTGTGTAGGATCATTGGAAGATTGAACAGTTTGAAAATGGACCAGTAAGTATTCAACTAAGTTCAACAAAACTTTGAGTGAATAATGAAGAAAAGATGAATTAGAAGTATATATTTAAATTTTTAGAAATATTAATTTAAAAAAACAGATTTCTAATCTGTAAACTCCTGATATGAAAACCATTAGGACCTTTGAATAAACAATGAGGACGTTCAAATTAAGAAAGTTTTCTAACAGCAGAAACTGTCCTGTATTCTCTAGATGAGAATAACTGACAAGTCTTTTTTTCCACGCTTTTCTTCCCCTTCCCCTTTCTTCTTTCTTGCCTATTCATCTTCCCCCCACTTTCCCTGTTCTTCCCACTGCCCTACTTCATTTCCTTCTCCTCTTGGTTTCCCATTTCCCGCTCATACCGCTACCTCTTAACTGTCAGGGTGGACTCTTCGTAATCTGCTTGGAAGCTTTTTGACCAGTATACCTGCTTAAGTCCCTCTACCTAGAGGTCTGGCTCAAGTCCCCAGAATCTGTTTGCACAAAGTTTCCCTGATGATTTTAATATGTACTCTTAGTTTAAAATCACTAATTTAGAGGATTAGTTACCTTTAGAATGACCACAGACAATTTTTTAAACAATTCTGGAATCTGAAATTAAGATTGTAATGGGTCTTGCAAATATCAGTAATTTTAAGTGATACTCATGATTTAGTAAATGATTTAATTGTCCATTGTGATATGTGTTAAATTGCAAGAAAATGCTTATCTTTTGCTTAAAACATCAAGGGAGTAATCATATTGTAACCTTTACAGCCCCAAAGCCCTTTACAGATGTGAGTATTGTCGTGAGATCTGCAGGACATTCCCAGATATCACGTATTAAGTAAGTGTCTTAATGCGTTCTTGTGTGTTCATTTGATATTTTGATTTAAATACATGAATTATTTATACTCTTTAGAAAATAAATTTCAGACACGTCAAGGATTTAAGCATAAGATATTAAATTATAAACGTCAAAGAAAATCTGTTAGTTATTTTAGAATCTTAGAGCGTCAGAAGGCTCTTGTTGAAATACACCTAGATGTTAACAATAGTTGTTTTCTGGATTATGGGAATTTTATTATCTTCTTTTTTTGTGTATTCATTTTCTTTTTTAAGTTTCTTTGATGACCATATGTTGCTTTAGATGAAGGAAGAAAATAATAATTTCAAATTCACTCACTACCCCTCCCAAGAAATAGAACATGGACAGAAACATCCATACATCTATGTGATAATCCCTTATCTCATTTCCCCCACTTTATTACCAAGATAAACTACCTTTTTTTTTTTTTTTTTTTCCTTTTTTGTCTTTTTTCGTGTCCGGCAACGGATCGCAACCCTCAGTGTCGCGCCCGTACCGGACCAGGACCGGCAACGGGATCGCAACCCTCGGTGCTGCGCCCACACCTCGCTCAGCCAGTGAGCGGGAACCAGTCTGTATGTGGGATCCGAACCCTCGGCGGGAGCACCGCCGCGCTCCCAAGCGGCGCACTGTAGCAGTGCGCCACCAGGCCGGCCCAATTTTTTTCTACTTTAAAAAAAAAAAATTGTTTCAAGCTAAAAGTAGGTTCCTGGGACTTGAATTTTTTCATTCAACTTTTTTACTAGAATTTGTTGATTTTGTTGTATGTGCTATAGTTTATTCATTATCACCGATATATAATACTCTGTTGTATGACTACCGCAGTTTACTTATCCATTTCCTACTTATGGCCTTTTTCATATTTTGAGTTTGTTCTATTATAAACATTGTTGCCGTGATTTTTTTTTACCTAAAAATGTTCTCTAAGTTTTATTAAGTTCTAATATTTTCCTAATACTTTTTTCCTCATGTAATTTTCTTAATGCAGTTAATTGATGATTTTTAAATGTTTTCTACTTTGTAATATAGGTACTTCAAAGTGTTGATTCAAGAAATGGATCTCAGGTTAGATCTTGGATTTGTCTATGCTTTAGCAGACCTTATTGCAGAAGCCGAGGTGACTAAAAAAATGGAGGTAAGGTTTAGAATAATAGCATTTCATGGAAAGGATTAAGGAAAGAGAAGGACTAAAAAAAATCATTATAAATTCTTAAAGGTGTTAAAATGGTTTTATTCTATTTTTAAAATACAATTTTCAAATTTTTATTGTTCTGTTTTGGTGAGTGCATTGAAAGAAATCTTATTTTCAGGTTATAGAAGATGGAAGCCAGGTAAGTAAAATAGCCTTTTTAAGGTAAGTTAGCAAACAGGAGGAAAGGTTTAGGCCAGTTATAGGAGGAAGAGGGTTAACAGTCATGTTCACATCACTTTTTTCTTTTATTTTCCTGGGTTACTTGTACTTTGCTTTCACTTTGATGAATAATTTAGAAATTTGGGGCATGACCAGGATATTTGATGAGGGGAGGGTTAGGCAAATTAAAAGGTAACATCATCTTGGTGATTGAAAGATTATAAAATCACAGAGATAGGGTGGATCAAATATGGTCTCTTGTTTACCTGCCCTCATAGAAAGAATTCTTAAGATAGGACAAACTTCATGAATAGAGACAAGGACAAATATACTGTTTTTTCCCTTCAATGATAGGTTATTGATATATAGTTCACATAACATACATTTCACCCATTCAGTGGTTTTTAATATATTCAAAAAATTATTCAATCATCACCATTATCTAATTCTGGAACCTTTTTATCACCCCAAAAAGAAACTGCCCTAGCCCTGTCTATGCACTATTATACTTTCTGCCTCTGTAGATTTTCCTTTTCTGAACATTTCGTACAAGTGGAATCATATAGTGTGGTCTTTGGTGAATGGCTTCTTTCACTTAGTATGTGTTCAAGATTCATCCATGTTGTAGCATGTATCAGTACTTCATTCCTTTTTATGGTCAACTAATACCCCGTATATATGGATTTGTCACATTTTGTTTATCCATTGATCAGTTGATGGACATTTGGGTTATTTCTACATTTTGGCTCTTATGGATAATGTTATGAATATTTGTGTATAAGTTTTCATGTGGACATACGTTTCTATTTCTTTTCTTTTTTTTTTTTTTTTTTTTTTAAAGATGACCGGTAAGGGGATCTTAACCCTTGACTTGGTGTTGTCAGCACCACACTCACCCAGTGAGCTAACCGGCAATCCCTATATGGGATCTGAACCCGGGGCCTTGCTGCTATCAGCACCGCACTCTCCCGAGTGAGCCACGGGCCGGCCCTCTATTTCTTTTAAGTATACTTCAAGGAGTGGAATTGCTGGGTCACATGGTAACTCTGTGTTTAATTACTTTTGGACTACCAGACAGTTTTTCAAAGTGGCCCCCCATTTTGCATTCTCATCAGAGTATATGAGGGTTCTCATTTCTCCATATTCTCCTCAACACTTGTTATTATCTGTCTTTGATTCTATTCATCCTAGTGCGTGTGAAATAGTTTCTCATTGTCATTTTGACTTGCGATTACCTGATGACTAAAGACGTCAAGCATCTTATGATGTGTTAATTTGCCATTTGTATTTTCCAAGAAGAAATATTTATTCATATCCCTTGCCTATTATTTAACGGGTTATTTGTTGTCTTATTGTTGAGTTACAAAAGTTCTTTATATACTCTAGATACTATTCCCTTATCCGATGTATGATTTTTAAATATTTTCTTCCCTTCTGTGTGTTTTCTTTTCATTTCCTTCATGTGTCTTTTGAAGCACAAAAGTTTTTTTTTTTTTCCTTTTTGTCTCTTTTTTTGTGACCGGCAACGGATCGCAACCCTCAGTGTCGTGCCCATACCGGACCGGGACCGGCAATGGGATCGCAACCCTCGGTGTTGCCCCCGCACCTCGCTCAGCCAGTGAGCGGCCGGTCTGCATGTGGGATCCTAACCCTCGGCGGGAGCGCCGCTGCACTTCCCAAGCGGCGCACTGTAGCAGTGCGCCACCAGGCCGGCCCGAAGCACAAAAGTTTTTAATGCTAAAGTCCAAATTATATTTTCTTTTGTTGCTCATGCTTTTGATGTTATTTCTAAGAATCCTTTGCCAAATCCAAGGTCATGAATATTTAGCCTTGTGTTCTGAGATTTTAAAGTTTTAGCTCTTACAGTTAGATCTTTGATCCATTTTGAGTTTATTTTTGTATATGGTGTAAGGTGAGGGTCCAAGTTGCTCTTTTATATGTGGCTATCCAGTTATCCCAGTACCATTTCTGGAAAAGACTGTTTGCTCCCCTACTGAATGGTGTTGGTACCCTTGTTGAAAATCAGTTGATCATAGACATGTGGTTTTATTATGTTGATCTATGTGTCTGTCCTTGTGCCAGTACCACACTGTTTTGATTATCTTTGCTTTGAAGTAAGTTTTGAAATTGGAAAGTGTGAATCCTCCTACTTTTTTGTTCTTTTTCATGATTGTTTTGACTATTCTGAGTCCCTTGCCGTTCCATATGAATTTTAGAACCAGCTTGTTGAGTTCTTCAAAGATGTCAGCTGGTATTCTTAGAGAGGGTTGCATTGAATCTATAGATCAATTTGGAGGGTATCGCCATCTTAACAGTGTTGTCATTTGATTCTTGAACATGAGATGTTTTTCCATTTATGTAGATTTTTGATTTCTTTCAACAATGTATTATAGTTTTTAAAGTGTAAGTCTGCACTTTTTTTTTGTTAAATTTATTTCTAAGTCTTATTCTTTTTATGGTATTATGTGTGAAATTATTTTCTTAATTTCATTTTTGGATTTGTTCATTGCTAGTATATAGAAATACAATTGATTTTTGTATACTGATTTTGTATCTGCAATCTTACTGAATTCATTTGTTAGTCTAATTGTTTTGTGTATTCTTGAGGGTTTTCTGCGTATAAGATCATGTCATCTGGTAAGAGAGGACATTTTACTTCTTCCTTTCTGATCTGGATGCCTTTTGTTTTCTTTCTTTCACTTAATTTCCCTGACTTGAAAGTAGTGAAATGTTGAATAGTTTAGAAAAAAAATGCCGAGAGCAGACATTTTTGTTTTGTTTCTGATCTTAGAGGGAAAGCAGTCTTTCGCCCTTAAATATGATGTTGACTCTGGGTTTTTCCTAGATACCCTTTATCAGGTTAGGAAGATCTCTTATTTTTAGTTGGTTGAGTGTTTTTATCATGAAAGTGGTGGACTTTGTCAGATTCTTTATCTGCATCTGTTGGGATGACCATATGCTTTTTGTTTTTTCTTCTATTAGTATGTTTTATTAACAGTAATTGATTTTGGATATTAAGACAAGCATACCTGGGGTAAATCCCATTTGGTCATGTGTTGTTTATTTTTTTAATGTATTTTGCTGGATTTGGTTTGCTAGTGTTTTGGGGGAGGGGTTGTTTGGTTTTTGTCATTTATGTAAACATTCTTTGTGGTCCTTTCCCGTGGCTCTGATGTCCTCAGTTCTGTTCTCTCTTTTTGAGAGTTCAAGGAATTATCATGATTGTTGTATCTTTTCTTCTTTCTTCTTTTTCAGGTTTGCTAGTATTTTGCTAAGGGTTATTGTGTTTATATTCACAAGAGATGTTGGTCTGTAAGTTTCTTTTGATGTCTTTGTCTGGTTTTGGTGTCAGGATATAATGGCTTCATAGAATGAGTTGAAAAGTGTTCTCTCCTCTATTTTTGGAAGAGTTTGTGAAGAATTAGTACTCTTTAAAGTGTTTGGTAGAATTCAGCGGTGAAGCCATCTCGGCCTGGATTTCCCTTGTGAGTAGTTTTTTGATTACTGACTTAATCTCATTTGTTAGATCTATTTGGATGGTCTGGTTCTTGAGTCGGTTTAGCTAGTTTGTGTGTTTTTATCTCAGTTATCTAATTTATTGACATAAAATTATTGATAGTATTCCTTTAATTTCATTAATTATTTTTTTCCTCCTCCTTGCTTTAATTTTAGTTTGCTCTTCTCTTTCATTATCTAAAGGTGGAAGGTTAACTTGTAGGTTTGAGATCTTTCTCCTTTCTTAATATAGGCATATACAGCTATAAATTTCCCTCTAAGTACTGTTTTAGTTGCAACTCAGAAGTTTTACTATGTTCTGTCTTCACTTTCACTTACCTCACAATATTATGTATTTTTCTTTTTGCTTTCTTATTGTTATTTGTGAGTGTGTTGTTTAATTTCTACATTCTTTTTTTCCTTTTGTGGAGGCTGGCCAGTACAAGAATCAAACCCTGGACCTTGGTGTTATCAGCACTACACTCTAACAAACGGAGCTAGCCAGCCAGAACTTATTATTGATTTCTAATTTCATTCTATTGTAGTTGGAGAACACAGTCTGTGTTATTTCTCTCCTTTTAAATTTATTGTGCCTTGTTTTATGTCCTAGAATATGGTCTCTTCTGGAGAATGGTTGAGTGTTTTACAGATCTCTGTTAGGTCTAGTTGGTTTATATTGTTGTTCAAGTCTTTTATTTCCTTGTTGATCTTCTGCCTCATTGTTCTACCCATTGTTAAAAGTGGATTATTAGTTCCCAGCTATTTTTGTTGAATTAATCTATTTTTCCCTTCATTTCTGTCTGTTTTCACTGTATGCATTTGTTGTTCTGTTATTAGGGACATATATATTTATAATTGTTACATCTTCTGGATAAATTTACCCTTTTATAACTATAAAATGTCCCTCTTTTCTCTAGTAACATGTTTTGTTTTAAAGTCTATTTTGTCTGCTGTTATATAGACACTATAGCTTTCTTGTGGTTGCTGTTTGTACGATATGTCATTTTTCATCCTTTTATTTTCAATTTTTTTGTATCAATGATTCTAAAGTGTGTTTCCTGTAAGCATTGTTAGTTGAATGTTCTTTTTTTTACCCATTGTGATAATTTCTGCCTCTTGATTGAATTGTTTTATTCATTCACATTTCATATTGATAATGTTGGATTTATGTCTTCCGTTTTACTTTTTGTTTTCTGTGTATCTCATATGTGCCAGCAGGGTCCCCAGACCCCTCACACACCAGGCTGGGTCACCAGACCCCTTACACGCAGGTATATGAGCTAGGTAACCAGCCCAAAGGACCTTGAAGCCATAGGTTTGAAAGCATGGCTGCGCTGGGCAGACACCCGAGGCTCACGCCCACCCTCCAGCTTCCCTAAAACTCCCCTCCCCCCTCCCCCCTCCCCTCTCTCCACTGTCTCCCCTTTCTCAACAGCAACAAAAACTAAAAAGATACATTGGCAAACATGCGCACTAACTCTGCACACACATAAGTTGCTTACAAAGAATGCTGAACCACTCTCAACTGGACCCGAGGCGAGGGCCCTGACCAAACTATTCTATTTTCCCAACACCTGTTTTATGAGTGATACATTCCTATTTCTTTGTTTTTGCATGTCTCAGAATTTTTTGGTTGGAAATTTAACATTTTAGATATTCTAATAGCTTATAGGTACTGTTTCCCCTCCAGAGGCGGGGGAGGAGAGCTTGTTGTTGTTATTAGCTTGTTTATTTCTTATGACTGGCTAGTTTATTTTATTAAAGTCTACCCCACTTCACCCCCTCCAACCACCCTTTCCTACAATGTTTTACACCTTTTATGTTGCCCCTCAGCAAGTTGCAGCTTTTGGATGCCTAATAGTCACACTGGGATAATGGTGGTTTTGGCAGGGCTCTCTTCCTCATTTTCCATGACTGCATCAGCTGTTAAGCTCCAGTAATTGCTGATGGATTACTCTATTGTTTTCAACAGTGCCCTAGGGCATAAATTGCTCTATAGGCTAATCCAGTTAAATTTAGGATCCTTTGAAGAAATGGATCTGGAAATTGGTGTTTCATATTTATTCTCCTTCTAGTTGTCAGTCTCGGTTTTCTCCTGCAAATTATCAGGTACAGTTCAGCCAGTATCTTTCTTGAATCAATTACTTTCCTTTTGGTTGCTTTTCACCAGCTGTTTCTGAGTTCACCCTTAGGCTTGAACTTCACATTCTGTTGTAAAGGGGGTACAGTTCAGCCAGTATCTTTTTTGAATCAATTACTTTCCTTTTGTTTTTTTTTTTTTTGTTTTTTTTTTTTTTTTTTTTTTTTTTTTTTTTTTTTTTTTTTTTGTTGTTTTTTTTTTTTTGTTTTTTTTTTAGCTGTTTCTGAGTTCACCCTTAGGCTTGAACTTCACATTCTGTTGTAAAGGAAATCAGTTACTTTGGGAAGGGATTAGTAGCTATCTGTTTTAAAGCCTACTTTTCTTTCCCCTAGGCAGAAATCTCTGAACCAGAGTGCTGGAGCTGGGAGCGGGGACATTGGTATTCTTCTCTCTCAGTAACACCAGGCTTTAGGAGCTGAGCCCTCAGTGTGGTGGGGAGCAGTGCCCTGAGATCTTCTCAGTTTGCCTCTCTTGGCGTGGAACCACCACTTTACACACCATGCCATGGCAAGAGTGATCAGAACCCTAGTATTCTCAGTGGTGCCACACCCAAGGCAGAAACGTTCCAGGAGTGGAGGCTGGACAGAAGAAGAAAGCCCCACCTCACTCATAACTTAGCTTTGCAGCAGTAGGTAGGCGGGGGCAGGATGAGAAACGCTAACATCCTGTTCTTCCCAGGAAGAAAGTCCTTCCATTGGGGTCTGGGCACAGAAGGATCTCTCTGTTCTTTGGTGCACCAGTTAGAGTGGAGTTCTGGCTTATTGATATGGAAGAGGGGATGGAGAGAATATTCTTTTTTTAAATACCACAGACTTTTTCTTACCAGATTTTTCAGGTTTTCTTGACTAGATGTTTCTTTATACTCTTAGGACCATTCCTAGAGGCCTCAAACATTTGTTTCTTTAAATAAATATCATCAGTTTCACTGGGGTGCTGGTCTGAAGAGCTCCTCACATTGTTATCACAGAAGTTGATTTTCAAATATATTTTTAATAAGGCTATCACTTTGATGATTTTGTGAATAGGTTAAAATGTGAATCTTGGGCCATTTCTCAACACTTAAAGTAATTTAGGTCTATGAATTTGGAAGAGAAGTATGGATGATTATCATGAATGAAAACACTAATCACTTTATGCAAAATTATTTTCAACATGTTCTCCTTTTTTTATTTCATTGCTGGCCTTTGTAGATTGCAGTAAGCCAGTTACCAAAGTGCTACAAGTAGACTATATGATGGTGTTCAAAGAAAGAAATATTCTCAAGAGAATGTGGATGGAATGAATCAGTGGCCTTTTGGGATAAGATCTATAGTCACATGAAGAAAAGCTTAGTGTCTTTTAATGGTTTAGAAGGAAACATAAAGATATGCTTATTATATCTTTATACTTGGCAGACAGAAGTTTCCTAACACTAACAATAGAAATGTTAGTTTCCCTTCTGAGGCAGCATACTAGTTATTTTCTGTTGCTTATAACAAAATACCTCAAACTGGGTAATTTGTAAAGAAAATGAAATTTATTGCTTACAATTTCAGAGGCTTAGAAGTCCAAAGTTCAGGGAAAACATTTGGTGAAGGCCTTGGTGGTGGCGACAGTGAACCAGGGGTCTCACATGGCAGAAAATGGTGGAGCAGAGAGAGACAAACTTCTCATGTACTCTTCTTTTAAAGCCTTCAGAGCCACGTCCCTGGCCACCATTATTAATCCATTCACTACTACAGTCTAATCACCTCTTCAAGGCCCCACCTTTTAATTATCATAGTAGGATTTCCTACCCTCAAAAGTTACAGTGGGAATTAAGCTTCTAATATATAAACTTTGGGGACACAGTTCAGTCAATCCATAGCAGGCAGTAACTTTCCAATAATGAGCAGTGTTGAGTCTGGTTATTGTAGAGTTTTATGCAGTGTGTGAACTGTTGGCTCAAATACCTCATGCATATGGCTCACTTCAGTTTTTAATATTCTATGTTTCTTTTATAGGTTGACCTTTTCCATAAAGATATAGAAGCTTTCCAAGAAGAATATGAAACAGTTTCGTTAGTAGATCAGTCACAAGTCAGTCTCTATGAATATTTTCATATATCTCCTATCAAGGTAGGGGAAAAATAAGTCATTTTTATTCTCCTTGATTATCTAGGTAATAGCAAATTGATTTGATCTGTTTGGGGTTATATAGTATTTAAATCATGCTCCTTAATAGTATATAAATTATGTAATTTTACAAATATAAATATATAACAAAGGAATGTTTTTTTAAATTTTTTACTTATTTTTCCTTAAAATAAGTTTGCACCAGGTGGAAATAATAGTGGTGCCACTTATAGAATAGGTTTATGTGTTTATATGTTGACCTAATGTTATTTTACTTTAATATTCTGTTAAGCTGCTTGGTGACAGTTTTCAAAATTTTGTATATGATATGTATATTAGTTTTAAATTAATTTATAAAAGTAGTCTTGATTTAAGAGTTGAAGATTGAGTAGAATCAAATCTGTTTTTAACAAAAATATCTATGAGTTTACACAATACTTGAAGAAAATTATTGTACAACCATATATACAGAATGTATATGCAATATAATACAAAAGTGTTTTTATTTGCTTCATCATGCTAACTTAATTGAAATAGTTGAAACGTACACTTTTGGAGATGACAGATGCTCCTTGACTTATGATGGGGTTATGTCCTGATAAACCCATCATTAAGTTGAAAATATTATAAGTCAAAAATGCATTTCATACATTTAACCTACTGAACATCATAGTTTAGCATAGCTTACTTTAAACATGCTTAGAACACTTACATTTGCCTACAGTTGGTCTAAATCGTCTAACACAAAACCTATTTTGTAATAAAGTTATGACAAAGAATTTTGAATCAAAATTCAAAATTTGAAGTACAGTTCCTGCTGAATGGGCATCACTTTCACACCACTGTAAAGTCAAAAAATGGTTTAAGTCAAACCTTTGTAAATTGGGGACCACCTGTATTTTAGTTCTTTTCAGTAGTTTCAACTTCTTGAGTGTTAATGTTATTAACAAACGTATAGTTTTTTTTCTGGGTTTGCCAGAAGAATGGGATGGAACCAAATGTCATATAATCTTATATTGTTGAGTTTAAAATTTAAACAGAGCTATGTTGGATTTTTACATTGCTTTAATGTTCCACTTATTAATTTTGGCATGATCTAGATAACTTTGAAATCTTATTTATGGTGCAGTGAATTTAAAATGAATCAGATTTTTGAAAGTTATAATTGTCAGTGTGAAGAAAGTACTTTAAAATATTTCGCTTTCTTTTTAGTTGCATTTAAGTGTTTCACTGAGCTCAGGTAGAGAAGAAGCTAAAGATTCACAACAACATGGAGGACTGATTCCAGTTCATTCTTTAAATCTTTTGCTGAAGAGTATTGGTGCCACTCTTACAGATGTCCAAGATGTCGTTTTTAAGTATGTTTAATATTCAAATCTGTAATTGATAAAAAGTCCATTTTATATTTACCTAAAAATTTTGAAAATGAAAAAGTATGTTAAGTATATTGCAGATTATAGGTAAAATGTGGTTTTTCCCTTTAAATGGAATATGATCTAAATAACACCAAACATATTACCTGCTAACCCTCAATTACTGAATCACAGAATAATTATTAAATAATTTTCTTTTTTAAAAAAGAGACATAAATTATGCAAGTTCGCACATTTTAGAAGGTCTTTCTGGCCTAGGGAAGGATTCCTAAGAAGGTGTGTATGCCCAAAGATGTGGCTTCCAAGCCCATAGGATCAAGCCTCCTACAAGCATTTGTAACTAGAACAGAATGAATGCAGTGAAAGGAGAGATAAAGAGATCAGTTTAAATGTTACTGTTAAGAATTTATACTAAGAACAGGAGTAAGAATAAAGTCTGATAAGAGGTAATTCTGAAGCTAGAGAAAGTTAGGTAATAGTCAAATAAAAGAACATAAGTTTGATGGCAGGAGGAATAGGATGAAATTTCTAATCTTGTTACTGTCGTATTCAGCAACAAGAAACATAGAGCTTCCCAATTAGTGGATCACATATGTGCTGTGAATGGGTTGTCAGTAGCATCTGATCTTGGCTTCTCAGCTGTCAGCCCTTTCAGCAAGACCTGCAGCAACTGAACCCTGGCCATTCTTGAGCACCCTCTTCTATTTACCTCAGTGTGTCAAACATTTTCTGTGTGGGCTGTGATAAGACAGACTTGGGAAATACAGTTCTGGTGGTCCTTGAATGGGTTCCAGGGGGTCTCTGAATTCCCTAAATTACATGAAAATTTGTATGTATTGGTGACCTTTCTGAGAATAAGATTCATAGCTTTTATCAGATTCTTCGAATGTGCAGAGATATATGTAAAAGAGTATTTTTTTTTCAGAGTATATGAGTATAAGAGTATATTTTTTTTCAGGCTTGCATTTTTTCAACTCAACTATCAGTTCCATACAACATCTGAACTACAGTCTGAAGTAATAAGACACTATTCAAAACAGGTTTGTCTGAGATTATCTTACAAAGGGACAGAGTAATGTAGATTAGTGAAATTTTATGTATCCGTACATGTGTAATGTAGATTTGTCAAGGAAGTAAATATCCATTTTCAAAATTTTAAAATGTGGTTTTTCTTGGTCAGAGTTGTAGAAAGAAATTGAGCCCAACCACAACTTCAGTTTTTGTCTCTATATTTTTTTAGACACTGACAGATATTTTTCCTGGATCAGTACAGACTAGAAATAAATAGATCTTTAAATAAAATATTAACTAAATAATTTACCACAGTTATTTTTAAAAATGGCTTCAAAGGAAACTATTAATAACTAACTAATGAATGAACACAGGATATTTTTAATGTGAGTTGTTGCGTCAGCTAGATATGTTATTTTAATGGATTTTTTTCCTCCTCTGAAAAGACTCCTACATTTTTTGATATAAATTGTAGAGCACTTGAGATAGCTGTGGTATAGTGGATAGGTAACTGAGCATGACTCAAAAGAGATATGGGGTTGGATCCCACTTTTGCCATGTACCCATTATAGGGCACTGGACATCATGTGACCTGTACATTACTCCGATCTGTAAAATGGTGCTGCTAATAACAACTGTTACAGATCATTGTAAAAGTGAAAGTACTTAAAATATTCTAGAGCTTTTTGTAAATATAATGTTATTTCTAATACTGTAATATCAAATTGCTGTTCACGAACTAATAGTGATGAATAAAGTGATACGGTTTAGTTGTTGAAATTAGTGATAAAGGTGTTAGCCTGAGAAAACTGTATCTGTCTAACAATCTATAAAAAAAAATTAGATCTAATTATCTGAATTGACTGATGTTTATATTTTATTTTTCACAATACTTGAAGAAAATTATTGTACAACCATATATACAGAATGTATATGCAATATAATACAAAAGTGTTTTTATTTGCTTCATCATGCTAACTTAATTGAAATAGTTGAAACGTACACTTTTGGAGATGACAGATGCTCCTTGACTTATGATGGGGTTATGTCCTGATAAACCCATCGTTAAGTTGAAAATATTATAAGTCAAAAATGCATTTCATACATTTAACCTAGTGATGCAAGTTGACACTGCAAAAAATCTTAACCAATGGGAAAAATTATTATTGTTCTACGTCCCTTAAAACATCTGTCAAAACATTCAGAACTCTCCTACTTTCACTTGTAAATGTATAGGATAATAAAAATGAAAGTAAAACCAATATTTATTTTGTACATTGAAATTTAAAATATTAGAAATATTAAGAATTTTAATGTGTCTTATTTAAAACTTACTGAGAGTAGTTTGAACTGTGCTTGCCTTCTTTTCATCACATAACTTATACTATGGAGCAAGCGTGTTTTCTACACTTTGGTGAATTGTCAAACTCCTTTCTAAGTTTGGATCAGCTTTCGACATTATATCCTTTGCACTTTTACTGTCACAAAGCATCACCCAAGAATTCCTCTGATGTGAAGTTTTTTGCTGGCGTCACTTCCCTCTGTGACATTTTTATCCTTTTTGTCACTACTGCTTTCCTCATTTGTATCAAAAAGCTCACCTTTAGAAGTAAATATAACTTTTTTTTTTTGGCCCTTTAGGGAGCCATTCAGGGTCCTGAAGAGTTTGTGGAGGGAATGGCACTAGGACTTAAGGCACTAGTTGGTGGAGCTGTTGGTAAGAAACAGAATACCTACCAAGTATTATTGTGCTAGAAGGTAATGACATATTTGCTTTTATTAATGATATTATAACTTCCGTTAGGTGGATTAGCTGGTGCTGCCTCCAAAATCACTGGTGCTATGGCTAAAGGAGTAGCAGCTATGACTATGGATGAAGACTACCAGCAGAAGAGGAGAGAAGCCATGAATAAGCAACCAGCTGGTCTTAGAGAAGGCATCACTCGTGGAGGGAAAGGCTTAGTTTCTGTAAGAAATTTCACAGGGTTGTGAACATTTTAGAAAATATATTTTAAACCCACATTCTATGACTAAGGAAACAGACATATAACTCTCACTTCTTAAATTATTATGAGGAGTCTTCAAAAAGTTCATGGAAAGATTTGTATTATCTGTTGATTCTATTTTTCTCTGAACTTTTGCCATACCCTGTATTTGAATGTTGTAAGAGCAGTGGGTGGTGACATAGAAAGTTTGTCAGTAGCCTCCAGAAACATTCTGTTTAAATAAAATACTTAGGAAATATATTAATTCTTGGGGCATATAAAAAGCAGAACTCTATTCTTTTTTGTAAGCCAGACTTGGTTCTTCTAGCCATTATGTGAAAGTACTGTAAATTTGTAATTGTGCTTTCTTTCTCTCTAGGGTTTTGTAAGTGGCATAACAGGAATTGTTACAAAACCAATCAAAGGCAAGTATAGTAGTTCCTTTGGGTGAGGTATCACCAGGTCTTTCACAAGTTTATTGTGTTTTCGTTCCTGATCCAATTGTCTAAAACTTTATCTTTTTTCTTTCTAGGAGCTCAAAAAGAAGGAGCAGCTGGTTTCTTTAAAGGTGTTGGGAAAGGTTTAGTTGGAGCAGTGGCGAGACCAACTGGAGGCATCATAGACATGGCTAGTAGTACATTTCAGGGAATAAAAAGGTAAATTCTCATTGATGTAAGATATGAATAAAATGTTTAAGCCATGAGAAATGAAATATATCTGCTGTTTGGATTTGTACTTATTTATAGTTTTAGTCTGTCTTGTGCTACTGTAACAGAATACCACAGACTGGATAATTTATAACAAAAGAATTTTATTGGCTCATGTTTTTGAAGTCTGAGAAGTCCAACACCAAGGGACTTCATCTCATGAGGGCCTTCTTGCTATATCATTTCATGGCAGAATGGCAAAGAGGGCAAGAGAGAAGGAGAAAAAGGGACCAAACTTGCCTTTTATAATGAACCCACTCCTGAGATAACAACATTAATCCATTCACAGTGGTGGAGCCTTCATGGTTCATGGTCTGATCACCTCTGATTAGGCCCCACCTCCCAACGCTGTTGCATTGGGGATTAAGTTTTCAACACATACTTTTCAGGAGACAAATTGAAAGTAGCAGTTAGAACACTACAATATGGCAGATTGCATATGATTTTCCTAATTCCTTTTGATAATTTTTAAGTTGCTGCTGTTATGTCATTTCAGCTTTATAGAGATTTCCTTTATTTGTCATTCATTTCCAGCATCTTTGCAAGTTAAGCAACTTTTCAGTTATCTTAGTTGAAATATATTAATGCTAAATGTCATTTATAAAATTAGCAAGTATAATATTTCGTCTCCTTTTTTGAGAAATAAAGAGTGGCATTTTATAGTCCTTGGTTCAAACTCAGTTTGTCTTCATCCTGCCTTTATGATCTTCGTTTGTTATAAAACTGTTACAGTAGTTCCCCCTTTATCTGTGGGGTATACATTCCAAGACCCCCAACGGATGCCCAAAACAGCAGATAGAACCCTACCTATACTATGTTTTTTCCTATATGTACATACTTTTGATGAAGTTTAATTTACAAATTAGGCACAGTAAGAGATTAACAACAATAACTAATAAAATAGAACAATTATAAAAATATACTGGAATAATTCAAGTAGAATTACTTGAACACAAGCAATGTGATATTGTAATAGTCAGTTTGATCACAGAGACAGCTACTGAGTAATGGGCAAATAACACAGACAGTGTGGATACAAGGGACAGAGGGATGATTCACATCTCGGCCAGGACAGAGCAGGACAGTGTGAGATCTCATCATGATACTCAGAATGGTGCACAATTTAAAACGTACAAATTGTTTGTGGAATTTTCCATTTAATATTTTCAGACCACAGGTAAACTGAAACCACAGAAAGCAAAAAAACCTCAGAGAAGTGGGGGACTACTGTATATACATTCCCTCTCTTTCTCTTAATTTGTTCAAGTAATTTTAATACACATTCTCTCTTCTTCCAAATTAAATTTAGCTTAAGACTGAAATTTAGTAGTTGTATTATTATTACTTCTGTTCTAAAAATTATAACACATACTACAGATGATTAAGTTTATGCTAATAAGACCTAACTTAGAAAGTTAAGTGGATGGCTTTCTCCCTAGTCTTTTTCCTTTGTATTTTCTCTTGCATCCTGCCATTTAAGGATAAGTATTTTTATTGTATGAGCTGTTGCTTTTAAGTCAGTATTTCATACTTGTTATTATAATTGGGTATTTCTGTTTTTGTAATTTAGAATTAAGATGGGGGAAAAGGGATCAGTCTCCTCTACCTGTAACTTTAGTTTTATAAATATGTGTTGAGTCACAGTCATTAGAGAAGCTCCAAAGTCAATGAAACGTAAGAGATTCAAAACATATGAAGAGCTATGCAGGCTTCTTTCCAGAGCTGCTAGAATTGCCTTCCATTTATTTCTACCCAGCTGCATCATCTTTAAGGATTGAGGGCAAAATAAAACATATTTAGAAAAAAAATAATAATAATGGGCCGGCCCGGTGGTGCACTGCTATAGTGCGCCGCTTGGGAAGCGCGGCGGCGCTCCCGCCGAGGGTTCGGATCCCACATACAGACCGGTTCCCGCTCACTGGCTGAGCGAGGCGCGGGAGCAACACCGAGGGCTGCGATCCCGTTGCCGGTCCCGGTCCGGTACGGGGGCGACACTGAGGGTTGCGATCCATTGCCGGACATGGAAAAAGACACACACACACAAAAAAAAGAAAAAAAATAATAAAGACTAAAAACTCTTAAAGGATGTACTTTTAAAGAAGAACAAAAAAAAAAGAAAAAAAATAATAAAGACTAAAAACTCTTAAAGGATGTACTTTTAAAGAAGAACACTGAAACCAAAAGGAAGAATAGGTTGCAAAGGTGAAAATACAAATTGGTGGATAAATCTAATTGAGCTATATGAAAACAACATTATTAAACAACAAGCAAAGTTATTAAAAAATAAAACGCAATTTGGGAAGGGAATGATTGACATAAGCATTCTAATATATTTTTTGTGAAGAGGATATACTTACTAATATTAGGTGAAACACAGGCCAAAAAAAGCATTATTTGGGATAAATAAGGTAATTAGCTAATGAGTAAAAAAAATCAAGAAGATAACAATTTTGAACTTACTGTAAGTTCACAAAATAGCCTCAATTTTTATAAAGCAAAAATTGACAATGTGTAAGAACTTCCCAAATATATAATAGTGGTGGAAGAATAACTGATAGATCAGGAAGACAAAATTAAAGTAAGTAAATAGATTATTTGAACACAATTAACAAGCTGTCTGATAAGCACATATAAATATTTCTTGACTCAACACTTTTTAGGGAGCATCTTCTATGATCTAGACACAGTTCTAATCACTTGAAGAATCAGCAGTGAACCCAATTGTCAGAATTCCTGTCTTCATACAACTTACGTTCTAGTGGGAGAGTAATATGCAAAAATAAGTAGCTAGTAAATATATGATATGCCAAATGGTAAAAAATGCTGTGAAGAAAAATAAGGCAGATTAAAGGAGATAAGAAACAAAGAGGTAGGGAGGAAGGTTGCTATTTTATATAAATATGTTCAGGGATGCTTCACTGGTAAGATTACATTTGAGGAAAGACCGGAAAGAAGTAAGGGAGTGAGCCATGTGAGAAGAACATCCCAGGCAGAAGGAACAGCAAGTAAAAAGTGCACATGCAGGAGTATGCTTGGCCTATTTGAGGAGCAGCAAGACCAGTGTGCCTAGAGTAGAGAGAAAAGATGATATCCGGGAATAAGCAAGGAGAAAAGAAAGGTGATGTCCGGAAATAAGCAGGGGATCAGATCACATAGAGCTTGGCAAGCCACTGGTAAGAACTGGCTTTTTCTTAACTAAGATGAGAAGCTATTGGAAGGTTTTGAACCAGAGGAGTGATGTGAGCTGGCTGCTATGCTGAGAATAAACCACAGGGGGGATCAGGGCTGAAAACAGTGGAGCACTTATGAGGCTTTTTGTTGTAATCCTGGTTAGAGATGATCATCATTTGACTGTTATAGTGCTTGAGGTTGTAAGAGGTCATGTTCTGCATGTATTTTGAAGATAGTGACAGATTACCTGAAAAATTGGTTGTGGGATATGAAACAGATAATCATCAAGGATAATTCTAAAGTTTTTGTCAAAACCACTGGAAGGATGGGGTTGTCATTTCTTTTAGAGAAAGAAGAAATTAAAAAGTTTTGTTTTAAATATATTAAGCTTAAAACATCTCTTAGACATCCAAATGGAGACATCAAGTAGTTGTTGAGTGCAGGAGTCTAAAGTTTAAGAGACAGGTCCAAAGTAGAGTTAAAAATTTGAGATTTATGAGCCTACAATAGAGTGTTTAAAACCATGAGATTGGATGAGATCCCCCTAGGAAATGAGAATGGAAAAGAGAAAAAAGAGGTCCAGGGATTTGGCACTTAGGCACACCAACAGTTAGAAATTGGGGAAAATGGGAAAGACCCAGCAAAGGAGCTTAAAAGGAATGCTATTAAAGTAAGGAGGATAATCACGAAAGTGGTGTTCCAGAAGCCAAGAAACAGACAATCCAGCTTATACTATTAAGAAAAAAGAGAAATTGCTCCTCCCCATTTATCTTACATGAAGATGTTGTAAGTTTGATGTGAAAATCAGAAGTAGGACTTTCAACAGAGGAATTGTTACCCCCTCCTTATCTTTGCAGTCCCCTCTGCTTAGTATACTCTTCCACCAGTTGTCAGTATGGCTCACTTCCTTTATTTAAAAGATATCTTCGTAGTGAGACTTTCTATGACTACTCTAAAATTTTAATTTATCCCTCACCCTCGTCCCAGATGCTTCATATTTCTCTTCACTCCTTTGTTTTATTTTACCTTGTTTATTTGTCTCTCCTGCTAGAATGTAAATTCCATGAACACAGTGGCTTTTGTTTTCTGCAGCACTTAGAACATTGCTTGACGTGATAGTCTTTTTTTTGTTGTTAATTATATATTTACATTCAGTTGTAGGAGATAATGCAGAGAGATCCCTTGTACAATGTGTTATGTTTTCTATGTACACTATAACAAATTACCACAAACTCAGTGGCTTAAAAAACAGAAGTTTATTTTCTCACACCTCTGGAGGCCAGAGGTCTGAAATCAAGGTGTCAACAGGGCCACCCATGTTCCCTTTGGAGGGAAGTAATTTGTTTCTTGCCTCTTCAGCTTTCAGTGGCTGCAGGGATTTCTTGGTTTGTGGCTTTAATGTCTGCCTTCATCTTCGTATTGCCTTTCCCTTTGTGTGTCTAATCTCTCTCTCTGCCTCTTTTTTATGAGGACACTTGTGACATTTAGGGCCTGTCTGGATAATCTAGGATAATCTCCTCATCTCAAAATTCTTAATTTAATCACCAGTAGGCATCACAACATAAGGTAATGCTACATTTAGGGCCTGTCTGGATAATCTAGGATTATCTCCTCATCTCAAAATTCTTAATTTAATCACCAGTAGGCATCACAACATAAGGTAATGCTCACAGGTTCCAAGGATTAGAACCTGGCATCTTTGGGAACCACCATGCAGGCTACTATATATACTTTGCCCATGTTCTACAGTAGTAACATTTTACAAAAGTGTAGTGTAC